AGCACTAGATTTCAGAATCAAGTATTGTCTTATGTAACCCGTGGGCATGATTGCCCCTGAGAGATCATTACTACAGAGATGTGAATTAGTGTTTTCAAATTAAGCTCCACCTAACTCTTGCAGGAAGGGATTAGTAAAGCTAGAGCTATGTAATTTATCCTTCCCTTCATCTCTTCCTATTCCTGGTCCAAGTGACGGGTCAATTGGAGTCTGACGTTTTCTCATAGACTTGGTGGCTATGGATGCCAGAAGTTGCCGTTACTGGGACCTTCAGTGAGCAGATTAGGGCAGATTGGAGGAAGAATAATATTAGGCACTCTGCTGTCACTCACCTGCCCAATCACTACCCGTTGGAGTTTCCTTTAAGTAGAATATCAGATTTAAAGCATGTTACTATAATCAATATATATTTTCCGCCTTTATTGGTCACACCTTAAAAAATAAACTCAACATTTTAACACGTTTTATACTAAGTGAACTCTCAAAAGAACTGTGCGGCTAAGCACCTTTACTTACCAAATTACATAACCCAAACACGATACAACAGAAAAAAATAGTTTCTTACTGTGAAAAAATGCTTTTTGTCATACGCATGCCTCTATTAACTATAACATGTGGGGAAAATTGAAAAAGTTATGCTTCCTCTTTACAATGTCATAGCTGTCAATGCTGGGAGCTTGAACAGATGCAGCAAGCCCCCCCCCCAACTATAAAAGATCACAAAACAAGGCAGGCACAGATACATTATTCCCGTTGCCTGCTTTAGGACATTTTGCATATTACACATTCCTCCCAGCTTGAGAAAACGTTGTTAATACATTATATTTTCTATCTTTATTGTACACATAGATATGATAGAAGAGTTTAGTTCAGACCGGAGGTCTTCTATAATTATAACACTCTTACATGATTAACAGCTTGCCGTCACCTTTTTAAGAGGTGACCAATAAAAAATGACTTTTAGGGCCCAATTTATTTAAAGTGACACTGAACTGAGGAGTTAAATCTTAAAAATGTATTCAAGTACCTTCAGTATTAACAATACTGGACCTTATTTGTGTATCACTCAGCTGTAGATCCTCAAATCATCTCTGAATTCATGCTGACACTGTCCTTCCTTCTGGAGGGTGACTACTTCTGTTCCTCATGGTCCCTGTGTGTGTTGTAAAGTAGCCACCGTTCCAAGATGGATTACAATCTCAATACAAAATAGTAAACTAAACATGAGATTGTAGTCCATCATGGGAGTGAGCTTTGAGTGGTGGCTACTTTACAACACACACATGGACCATGGGGAACAATAGTAGCCACCGCCAGAAGGAAGGACAGTGACAGCACCAATTCAGAGATGATTTGAGGCTCTAAAGCCGAGTGATACACAGATAAGATACATTTTTCTAAGGTTAAGGTACTTGAATGCATTTTTAAGAATTAACTATTGAGTTTAGTGTCACTTTAAGTGTGAAGCTGGGTGATAAGCAATGAAGAAACCTATGTTCTTCCAATTGTATGCTGGAGTATTTAAAAAACAGAGCTTCTCTTTCACATGACTGAATGTTTTACATGAACCCTGATACACTTGACCCTACCTTGTTTATAGTTCCTTAAATGATTCCCATAAAGTGTCTGTGGGCTTATTCTGCTGCATATTCATATAACCAAGTATCAAACAAATATTTCCAGGGCCAAGAATACGTTGCTGTATGATTACCAGCAGAGTAGACTATATTGGAGCTGTCCTTGCATCACTCCAACTAAGGAAAGTTTAAGACTTCATCTATTAAGACTTCAAATTGAACTTCATCATATATTCCTCATTGTACTGCCGCACAATACATAGGACCAGACTTCAAGAAATGTTCTATAAAATGAAGTATTGGCAGCCCTTCATATACTATGAGAATGAAATAAAGGAGCAGCATAAATATCATCAATAAAATGTCACACTAGGTTGTGCACACAATATTTATAACAATATAATTGTATAACAATATAAATCCCTTCACACCGAGTTAAAACATGATGCTTCAGATATGTTTGCTCCTTATCAGCAAATCAATTCCTCTCAAATATCTTCCTTCAGTGACATCCAGACAGCTAGCCATTGCACAAATGTAATTCCATTCAGCAGTGTCCCCTCCCACCTATTGCCTGCCCTTAATTAAAAGGAGCTGGGATGGAAATAATATGTTCTAGGTCAGATAATGTTGCTCAATATCAAAACAGACACAGAAAATACACAGATCCTGACATTTTATATGTGTCGTGGTGATTTTACACTCACTACAGTTCTCCTTTAAAGCCCATCTCTGAGCAAACAAAACAAAATACCCTTGCAGTGGGGATAAAGAAAAGCACATTTACTTACCTGATCCCCATTCCCCCAGCTCCATCTCTGCTCTAGCTATTGAATGTGTTTTGGCGCTCTTATGTCTAAAGCTGGTCTAGTATGTCAGCGGTCCCTAGACTGCAGGGACCAGTCTAGCAGTCCAGAGGGAGCTGGCAAGAGCAGAGATCAGTTAAGTAAATCTGCTTTACTCCAGACCCCAGACAACTTAACTCTTGCAGTGCGGGAGTAGCCTCACTGCAAGGGTGCTTTTTCTTTTTGCTTGCACAGAGATGGGCTTTAAACCTGCTGAAAGCATAAATCATAGACAAAGCTACGAAGTTGAGTAGCTCTGCCCTGATTAAGTTAAAACATTTTTCCCTCAAATGCTAAACTTATAAAAACAGCAGAATGCTGTGAATTTACTAAAGGAGTAAAGTCTGTTCACTTTGGAAACAGATATTTTCCTTCACAAGAGATTTTGCACTTGGCTTAGTGAATGAGGTAGGGTAACTTAAGTCATCCAATCTTGTGCAAGCCTGTTTTTAGCTTTCCTTGCACATGAATTGATATTTTTTGCACAGTGAATCTTCACAACATTCACTAGACTGAGTGAAAATCCACTTTGCAAAGTGAAAAGGCTTTCGTTTTTCTAAGTAAATCAGCAAATACACTTTCAATCTACAAAAATTATTCCAATAATAGCCTTGGGTCAGCCTGTGTCTTAATGCACCCTTTAAATGTAACTGAGACAAAAATAAACTCTTCTCTAGTTTATTTTTACATTTATTGGTAAAAGGGAAGCAAAATTACAGACTAGTGAATACCAAGGATTTCAGAATTTAAGCTTTAAAGAGAACCTGTCAGACCAGCTGTTACTGTTTACAGCCAGTCCCGGCGCTACCGCAAGGCAAGTCAGGCGGCCGCCTTACGGCGCTGCAGGGTGAGGGCGGAAAAAACAGGGCATTTTGACAAGTACTTGTCAAAATGCCCCGATGTTTGCGCTATGTTTTTTTTTCACTTACATTCGATCGGGAGAGCAGCGGCGAGTCAGTGTTGGTCCAGTGGGAGGAGCTCCAGGTGGCGTCCTAATTTAGCTGGCCGGCGACTGCCAGAGGATTCCGACACACGCGGCACCTCAGGCAGTCGTCGGCCAGCTAAATTAGGACCCAACTTGGAGCTCCTCCCACTGGACCAGCGCTGACTCGCCGCTGCTCTCCCGTACCGAAGGTAAGTGAAAAAAAAAAAAACATAGCGCAAACATCGGGGCATTTTGACAAGTACTTGTCAAAATGCCCTGTTTTTACAGGGGGTCAGGGAGGGGGGAGCGCTTCCAGGTTTCAGTGCTGACAGGCTCCGGTTTTGCATGGCAGCACACAGGTAAGGACCATGCTGACAGGTTCCCGTTAATGTTGGAAAACTACCAGTAAATATGCCAAAATGTCATTTCCTAGGCAACATTCACTTTATGTGATTCAGACAACTGATGAGCTGGCATACATGGTTATCCTAGGAATCTAACATTGTTTAGGTCTTTGGATTGTGAAGTTATGACTTGCACTACCTGTAGATAAGTCTTACAACATGTGATAGCAGAAACGACTAGACTTCATATATCATCATAATCGTCTTCTGCTGCCGTGGAGCAATCTCATACATGAAACAGAGCGTGTGAAGAGACAATTAGCACAAATGGATTCTATCACCTATAGTGGAACTGTAATTATGTTACAATGTGGCCCAAAACTCCCCCCGCCACCATCTATTTCATGTCCCATTATTGAAAGTCTCACCACACCAGTGTTGTCTCATCCAGGATCTGAGCAACATCTTTCTCAACTGAGTTGGCAACTTGTGCATTCTAAGGCTATAGAGGGGCACATGCACAATTCTCCAGTTCCACTGTTGTGTAAAGAACTGTTCAGCCCTGACCTAGTCCAAAAGGGAAGAACATTGCAAAGCTAAATAGTAAATGGATGGTAAAGGGGAAACTTTGGGCTACACCATCATCATTTCAATTCTACTTTAAGGTTCTTGAATAACAGCTCAGACCAGGGATAAGCATCAGGGCATGCAGCCTCCATACACCTCTATGTAAAAGAGAACTGTCATACTGCCGTACATTTCAGCCACAAGGGTGCAGCCTATAGTGTCTTTCTGTGTGCTGAAGGTCGCTGTGCGGAGTATATATGACAGTTCTTTTTATCTACAGAGATAAATGAACGCTCATCATTGCTCTAGGCTGAAACAAGTATCAAGCTGTGGGTGTTTAAAGTACATTAAAACTGAAGAACAAATAGACAAAAAGACAACAAAAGACAAAAGTCAATGAAAAGAAAGGCTCGCTGCAACTTTTCTGCTGTCTTGGAAGAGTTACATAAAAGGTGCATAACACATGCTACCAAACTAAAACCATCTGTGAATAGACCTTTAACTTAATATAAATATGTAAAAATATAGAGAGAATCTAAATAAAAACATGCCCTTTGCTGCTGACCCTTCTGTGAGGTTTAAAAATCAAGCTTGTAAAAGAATCAGTGCACAAAAATGAATCAATAAATACCACAAGAGTAAAATGATAAAGGTGCTACATTGTCTGCTTGTGATCATGCCTTCTACGCATTATAGATAGAAAAACATTGTAACAGCATTTTATCTCAGCATATCCCGGTTCCGAAAACTCCGGAATAACTCTCGGAAGTGTTGCCTGGTGACAGATGTCACACACGTGTAGTAGTCCTTCAGTCCGTGCTTCGACTTCTCCTGGTAATAAAGACACATGGGTTAGTGCATCCTCCAACTAAAAATAAAATGGACATCTAACTTGGTATTACAACAGAGATTCCGAATTCCTCATAATGCAATACATACTGGGCATATCAAAAGTAAAGCATTCTGTGCACGTTTAACCCCTTCATTACCAGAGGTTATGAAAGCCTAGGTGAACAGACAGCAGCGTCAATATGTGGCAGTTAAAGGCATAAATTACCTACATCATTTTTATCATATTCTGGCAAATAGACAAAATGTTTCACAAATGCTGTCTTTATTATTTAACTTTACTAACTGCAGCCTGCTGAGGAACAATGACTAAGCTGAGACTATAGTTTCTATTTGTAAACAAACCCATGGAAACACTATTATTGGCTGTCATAGTGAGCACATGATCAGGAACCAATCAGAGGAGTTCCCGAACATTAGTGAGGGACAAATGCTGTCACTGACAGCGCGCAGTCCAAACAAGAAGCCCTTCGCAATCTTCTCCTGCACATACTGACCACTGCCATACCCTCTGCACTACTCTAATGCGTATACTGCTTGCTGTCATACCCTCTGCACATAATACTATTCCACTATTATATCTACATACACATAATTCACTATTATACCTTCAACACTCTTCTACCACATACACTGCCTGCTGTCATGTGTATGACAACTGTATGCTTTTTCTGCACATACTACCCACTATTATACCCTCCAGACTACTCTAATGCATATACTGCCTGCTGTCATACCCTCTGCACTCTTCCTCTGCACAAAATACTATCCCACTATTACATCTACATACACATAATCCACTATTATACCTTCAACACTCTTCTACCACATACACTGCCTGCTGTCATGTGTATGACAACTGTATTCTTTTTCTGCACATACTACCCACTATTATACCCTCATAACTCCTCTAAAGCATATACTGCCTGCTTTCATGCCCTCTGCACTCTTCTTTCTTCTGCACACACTACCCACTATTATACCTTCCATAATGCTCAACTGCATATACAGCCTGTTGTCATGTCCTCAGTACTGTTCTCCACATTATATTCACTATTATACCCTCCACACTGCTTCACTGCATATACTGCCTGCTGTCTTGCCCTCTGTACTCTTCTTCCACACTTACTGCCCACTATTATACCCTCCACACTACTCAACTGCATATACTGCCTGCTGTCATGCCCTCCATACTCTTCTTCAGGACATACTACCCACTATTATACCCTGCACACGCCTCTCCTTTACATACTGCTGGTTATCATACCATCTCCGCTCCTCTCCTGCACACAATGCCTGCTGTCATACCGTCTGCACTCCTTTTCTGTACATACTACTTGTTATCACATCCTCTGTACTTCTTTCCTACATAAGCTGTCATACTCTCTGCAATTCTCTCCTACACATACTGACACCTGTAAAAACCTCCACATTTCTCTCTTGTACATGCTGCCTGCTGTCATAGCCTCAGCACTGTTCTCTTACACATACTTCATTCTGTGACACACTTTCCACTCCTTTCCCAGCACATACTGCCCACTGTCACACCCTCTCCATTCCTCCTCCAGCACATTCTGCCCACTATCACACACTCTTCATTCCTCCTCCAGCACATTCTGCCCACTATCACACACTCTTCATTCCTCCTCCAGCACATTCTGCCCACTATCACACACTCTTCATTCCTCCTCCAGCACATTCTGCCCACTATCACACACTCTTCATTCCTCCTCCAGCACATTCTGCCCACTATCACACACTCTTCATTCCTCCTCCAGCACATTCTGCCCACTATCACACACTCTTCATTCCTCCTCCAGCACATTCTGCCCACTATCACACACTCTTCATTCCTCCTCCAGCACATTCTGCCCACTATCACACACTCTTCATTCCTCCTCCAGCACATTCTGCCCACTATCACACACTCTTCATTCCTCCTCCAGCACATTCTGCCCACTATCACACACTCTTCATTCCTCCTCCAGCACATTCTGCCCACTATCACACACTCTTCATTCCTCCTCCAGCACATTCTGCCCACTATCACACACTCTTCATTCCTCCTCCAGCACATTCTGCCCACTATCACACACTCTTCATTCCTCCTCCAGCACATTCTGCCCACTATCACACACTCTTCATTCCTCCTCCAGCACATTCTGCCCACTATCACACACTCTTCATTCCTCCTCCAGCACATTCTGCCCACTATCACACACTCTTCATTCCTCCTCCAGCACATTCTGCCCACTATCACACACTCTTCATTCCTCCTCCAGCACATTCTGCCCACTATCACACACTCTTCATTCCTCCTCCAGCACATTCTGCCCACTATCACACACTCTTCATTCCTCCTCCAGCACATTCTGCCCACTATCACACACTCTTCATTCCTCCTCCAGCACATTCTGCCCACTATCACACACTCTTCATTCCTCCTCCAGCACATTCTGCCCACTATCACACACTCTTCATTCCTCCTCCAGCACATTCTGCCCACTATCACACACTCTTCATTCCTCCTCCAGCACATTCTGCCCACTATCACACACTCTTCATTCCTCCTCCAGCACATTCTGCCCACTATCACACACTCTTCATTCCTCCTCCAGCACATTCTGCCCACTATCACACACTCTTCATTCCTCCTCCAGCACATTCTGCCCACTATCACACACTCTTCATTCCTCCTCCAGCACATTCTGCCCACTATCACACACTCTTCATTCCTCCTCCAGCACATTCTGCCCACTATCACACACTCTTCATTCCTCCTCCAGCACATTCTGCCCACTATCACACACTCTTCATTCCTCCTCCAGCACATTCTGCCCACTATCACACACTCTTCATTCCTCCTCCAGCACATTCTGCCCACTATCACACACTCTTCATTCCTCCTCCAGCACATTCTGCCCACTATCACACACTCTTCATTCCTCCTCCAGCACATTCTGCCCACTATCACACACTCTTCATTCCTCCTCCAGCACATTCTGCCCACTATCACACACTCTTCATTCCTCCTCCAGCACATTCTGCCCACTATCACACACTCTTCATTCCTCCTCCAGCACATTCTGCCCACTATCACACACTCTTCATTCCTCCTCCAGCACATTCTGCCCACTATCACACACTCTTCATTCCTCCTCCAGCACATTCTGCCCACTATCACACACTCTTCATTCCTCCTCCAGCACATTCTGCCCACTATCACACACTCTTCATTCCTCCTCCAGCACATTCTGCCCACTATCACACACTCTTCATTCCTCCTCCAGCACATTCTGCCCACTATCACACACTCTTCATTCCTCCTCCAGCACATTCTGCCCACTATCACACACTCTTCATTCCTCCTCCAGCACATTCTGCCCACTATCACACACTCTTCATTCCTCCTCCAGCACATTCTGCCCACTATCACACACTCTTCATTCCTCCTCCAGCACATTCTGCCCACTATCACACACTCTTCATTCCTCCTCCAGCACATTCTGCCCACTATCACACACTCTTCATTCCTCCTCCAGCACATTCTGCCCACTATCACACACTCTTCATTCCTCCTCCAGCACATTCTGCCCACTATCACACACTCTTCATTCCTCCTCCAGCACATTCTGCCCACTATCACACACTCTTCATTCCTCCTCCAGCACATTCTGCCCACTATCACACACTCTTCATTCCTCCTCCAGCACATTCTGCCCACTATCACACACTCTTCATTCCTCCTCCAGCACATTCTGCCCACTATCACACACTCTTCATTCCTCCTCCAGCACATTCTGCCCACTATCACACACTCTTCATTCCTCCTCCAGCACATTCTGCCCACTATCACACACTCTTCATTCCTCCTCCAGCACATTCTGCCCACTATCACACACTCTTCATTCCTCCTCCAGCACATTCTGCCCACTATCACACACTCTTCATTCCTCCTCCAGCACATTCTGCCCACTATCACACACTCTTCATTCCTCCTCCAGCACATTCTGCCCACTATCACACACTCTTCATTCCTCCTCCAGCACATTCTGCCCACTATCACACACTCTTCATTCCTCCTCCAGCACATTCTGCCCACTATCACACACTCTTCATTCCTCCTCCAGCACATTCTGCCCACTATCACACACTCTTCATTCCTCCTCCAGCACATTCTGCCCACTATCACACACTCTTCATTCCTCCTCCAGCACATTCTGCCCACTATCACACACTCTTCATTCCTCCTCCAGCACATAGTGCCCGCTGTCACACCCTCTACATTCCGCCTCCAGCACATACTGCCGACTGTCGCACCCTCTCCACTCCTCTTCCAGCACATACTGCCCGCTGTCACACCCTCTCCATTCCTCCTCCAGCACATTCTGCCCACTATCACACACTCTTCATTCCTCCTCCAGCACATACTGCCCACTGTCGCACCCTCTCCACTCCTCTTCCAGCACATACTGCCCACTGTCACACCCTCTCCACTCTTCTTCCAGCACATATTGCCCAATGTCACACCCTCTCCACTCCTCTTCCAGCATATATTGCCTGCTGTTACACCCTCTCCATTCCTTTTCTAGCATAAAGTGCCCGCTGACACAACCTCTACATTTCTCTTCTAGCGCATACTGCCCACTGTCACACCCTCTCCACTCTTCTTCCAGCACATACTGCCCACTGTCACACCCACTCCATTCCTTTTCTGGCACATACTGCCCACTGTCACATTCTCTCCACTCTTCTTCCAGCACATACTGCCCACTGTCACACCCTCTCCATTCTTCTTCCAGCACATACTGCCCACTGTCACACCCTCTACATTCCTCCTCCAGCACATACTGCCCGCTGTCACACCCTCTCCATTCCTCCTCCAGCACATTCTGCCCACTATCACACACTCTTCATTCCTCCTCCAGCACATACTGCCCACTGTCGCACCCTCTCCACTCCTCTTCCAGCACATACTGCCCACTGTCACACCCTCTCCACTCTTCTTCCAGCACATACTGCCCACTGTCACACCCTCTCCATTCCTCCTCCAGCACATACTGCCCACTGTCGCACCCTCTCCACTCCTCTTCCAGCACATACTGCCCACTGTCACACCCTCTCCACTCTTCTTCCAGCACATACTGCCCAATGTCACACCCTCTCCACTCCTCTTCCAGCACATATTGCCCAATGTCACACCCTCTCCACTCCTCTTCCAGCACATATTGCCTGCTGTTACACCCTCTCCATTCCTTTTCTAGCATAAAGTGCCCGCTGACACAACCTCTACATTTCTCTTCTAGCGCATACTGCCCACTGTCACACCCTCTCCACTCTTCTTCCAGCACATACTGCCCACTGTCACACCCACTCCATTCCTTTTCTGGCACATACTGCCCACTGTCACATTCTCTCCACTCTTCTTCCAGCACATACTGCCCACTGTCACACCCTCTCCACTCTTCTTCCAGCGCATACTGCCCACTGTCACACCCTCTCCACTCTTCTTCCAGCACATACTGCCCACTGTCACACCCACTCCATTCCTTTTCTGGCACATACTGCCCACTGTCACATTCTCTCCACTCTTCTTCCAGCACATACTGCCCACTGTCACACCCTCTCCACTCTTCTTCCAGCACATACTGCCCACTGTCACACCCTCTCCACTCTTCTTCCAGCACATACTGCCCACTGTCACACCCTCTCCACTCTTCTTCCAGCACATACTGCCCACTGGCACACCCCCTCCATTCCTTTTCTGGCACATACTGCCCACTGTCACATTCTCTCCACTCTTCTTCCAGCACATACTGCCCACTGTCACACCCCCCGACTCTTCTTCCAGCACACACTGCCCAATGTCACACCCTCTCCATTCCTTTTCTGGCACATACTGCCCACTGTCACACCCTTTTCATTCACCTTCCAGCACATACTGCCAGCTGTTGTACCCTCTGCATTCCGATTCCAGTGCATACTGCCTGCTGCCATGTTGCCTCTATAAAACTACATACATTGTCCCAGTGTTCAGCATACCCATTATATATTTCTTGATTTATTATGGGACTGTGCAAAGTAATTACTTAACAATGGAAATTGATTCTTGGAAATGTTCGGTGTGTGGTAATTGTACAAACAGTATAAGAGCAACTGATATTATACTTGCGGACTGTAATGAAGAGAGAGTTGACTTACTTATCTACTATTGAGCTGTTTCTTCAGACAGGCTCGGAAAGTGGTATATTTTTGCTCAGTTTTGTAACCCTGCAGAGCAGAAGAGATGGGTGCAGATGCAAAGATGGTGAAGCAGCCACAGAAGAGTGCAGAGAATACAATACAGAAATTAGTGATTGGTTAGTTTCTCAGAGGAGAAACACATGCTATACGTGGAAGTAAACAGAGTTTAGATTTTAAAATAGAACACTATGTATTATTTATTGGTCCAAGTATAAATGAACATAGCAATGATATAGGTTTATCCTGCTAGAGGAAGATCTTGTGCAATGCTGTACCTGACATGAACTTAAGTTAATCTACACCAAGTAGTAGTTGTGTCTGAGTAGCCGAACAACAGCTTAAAGAAAACAAATGCTGAAAGGTTTTAGACAGTAAGGGTGAAACACATTTAACAGCATGCAAGTCTGTTTTCATACAACCTACACTAATAAGTGACTCAATATTATGAGGGATTGCGCAATATTAAGGGAATGGCCATCATGTAATGCCTATGGAAACATTTAGCAATATATATATATATATATGGC